CCAGTCAACTCCAAAAAAGTCACGTGATTGATAGTAAGCAATACCAACGGTAAAGTAAAGAATGCACAACTTGAAAATGCAAACACTTTTAGATTGCACGGACCTTCATTGGAACACATGAATATTTTGCACAAATCGAGGCTAGCCCCGAGCAGCAGGGAACTCGAAACTGTAGTATTGTGCTCAAAGATTACTCATTCATTGCTATTTTTTTAGTGGCTCGTCCATTGAATTGTCTAAAGCAAATCCCCCTCTCAACTATGCTACAATCAATTAATTAACCTTACTTATCAATAGAAAAAATATTTATCTTGAATTAATAATGGTAATTGAACTAAGTGGAGTGCAATTTGGTCTGAAATTAAATGAGTGATTACGAAATTATGACCGCGTAGCGGGAGTGCAATTTATTAATCACAAGTTTGATTTCAGACCAAATTTGCACGACTCAAAGTTCAAATTACCACTTACATTATATTCATTTTGAAATCTCCTGCAACAATAATACATTTCAGATTAAAGTTTACTAAGACTTAGTCAAAAAAACCGTCTCTCACCTAAAAAATTCCCTTCAATTTTTTTTTAATGCCTTTTTCTCACTTTCCTTTTTTGATATCTGATTGGTCAAATTCTATTTTTCTCTAATTTCATTGCCTAATCAAAAGAGTGTGATTTAAAACTCAAAATGGCGCGATTCGTGATTAAATCGCACTGCTGGGAGCCAATGAGATTGTAGAAATCAACAGTGATTTCAAAATGGATGTTATAATTGAACATGATAATGAAACCTATGACTAACTACGTCAGGATTAATCAAAGTACTAATTCCTTTTTTTTTTAAATTCCCGGCTTAAAAGCTGTACCTAAGCTTTGATGTATCCGTTAGACTTTCTTTAGGGATTAGGGTTTCGAAGTATTATTATTGTGCACTATCATTTTATGACCGCGGTTTTACTTTTTAACCTGAACAATATGAGTGGCTTATAGGTAAGGGAACAGAATATATCATGCTTATATATTCTCGTCATCTTGATACAATTGCCTTACCTGCTCTGCACTGTGTCTCTAAATGCATTATTAGCACCAACATTGACAAGCGAATGAAACCTTTGGCCATCATCTCAAAATGTAGCTGGTCGTCAGTACGAGTCGATGTCTTTTCCGACCACGTTCTCTGCGTCAAGTGCAAGGATGAAAAATACTGATTGGAAAAAAATAATCTAACAAAAGAAGAATCCTTTAGATACTACACTACTTTACACTACTTTAGAGCGCTCGAACACTAAAACAACCTAAAAGATTTAGATAGCTGGTTGTATACGCAGTGGAAACTGAAATGTGAAATGGGAGTGGAACACCTAACGGGGTGGACCGTTGGAAACCACAAGTTACTGATCTTCCCCTTTTCAATTCACGCAGCAGTCATTGGCAGAAACGAGGGGAAGTTGGGTTCTATCATTGTCAAGGGGGAAAAGACAATATCGTACCCAGAG